GGAACATGTAATCCTTTGTGAAAATTCAGATAAACACATTTGTCAAGGAACATGTAATCCTTTGTAAAAATTCAGATAAACACATTTGTCAAGGAACATGTAATCCTTTGTGAAAATTCAGATAAACACATTTGTCAAGGAACATATAATCCTTTGTGAAAATTCAGATAAACACATTTGTCAAGGAACATATAATCCTTTGTGAAAATTCAGATAAACACATTTTTATTTGGTTTTTCTCTTTGGTGTGCAATCCTTTAATAAAAATGTTAGGAACAGGTAGTTCATTGGAGACAGGTTATCTTAACTCCTTGATTTCTTTGTTCACCTAAAAACAAGCAATAGTAATGAACTTTAAATCTTCATGTATGCATGGGTATTATTTGGTTATTTCCTGGCAAAACAAGAAATATCGCCTTGTTGTATAACCTTTTTGAACCAATATAACTACAAATGATATACTGATTGTTTTCATACATCCTGTAGGAAGTGCAGACTGTGATATATATAAGGTATTGAAATACCAAATGAAAAAAAATGACATTTTTCAGTTCCTTTACATTTGTCCCATGGATTATACAATAAAACCTGACACTGCAAAAGAAGTGGACAAAAAGTATTGTATTAGAAGGTGCAAACAGTAGAAGCAACAATATAATTTGCAAATACAACCTTGTACATTACTTAAGATGTATAATTATATTGCTAACAAATGGACATTACCAAAAGAAAATATAAACAAAGCTAGAAGGCTCCTTTATCTTCCAAATTGTTAACTGTTTTTTTAATTCTGCTTACTGATATATTATGCAAATACAATGTACATAACACCCTCATTTTCCATAGATTATGAGCAAGTAAAATGTATAATTAAATTCAAGATTGGGTCTTAGCTCTTAATTTCACTTATATGCTTAACAGTATTATTGGATTAAAAGAAAGTTCAGTGATTCCATGAAATTGTAATATTTTTTTAAAGTTATCAGTTTAATAAATGTTTTATTATCAATATACAAGTTTCTTTGCTTCTTTTGATATCACTATAAATTTTATTAAGAGTTGGCATACATAAACATATTTTACAAATCAATACTATCATTCTTATAAACTATTTACAGTTGAAACAAATTAAATATTACAAAATGAAGCAATTATTACTGTATTACTAACTCAACTGAACCATAAATTCAAATTCACTAACTAAATTGTACTTTCTGTACTGCAACTTCAACTTATTTAGCTGCCCTTGCTAATAGCTTATGTAAGGTAAATTTTATGAGGCTAATCTGGACATTTCAATTGCAATCTGCATGATCACTGCTCTGTTAACCCCATTTAGTGACTGTCGGTACCATAGCTGAAAACGTAATAGTTTGATATCCGAAATATTTTGAGAAAAATAAACTAGATTCTGTAGTGAAAATCACATATGACTTTAAATAACTTCTCTATATGTTTATGGTTTATTTTACAGCAACACTTAGTATAAAGTGACATTTATAATCTCGGAACTAGCTATGTGATTATGAGTTCCTGAGAATATGTGCTTAAAAAACACTTTGTCTTTTATAAATAGAAAATGTGCATATATCTATCAAACATCAGGCTATGGATTATAATTACTTCAGTTTTGAATATATATCACATATATGAATTTGCAGACTCTACATATTTGTGGCTTAAAACAAGGAAATAATGAGATCACTTAACAGTACAAATGTATGTAATTAACACAGGATCTCTCCCTCAACCAGAGGTGCCTCAGTAGGAGGGATCATACTTAAAAAATTTATTTGGTTTTGATTAAACTGATATAGGGTTTAATATACAGTGAGATATGATGATTACAGTTTCCAAATTATATAAACCTTAATTGGAGTTATGACTGGTCACATCATCAGCAGAAACCCCATTGTTAATGACGTTGTCTTGTTCTATAATCAATGGATCTGCTTTGTGGCCTTTCACCTGTTGTTGCATCTGTTTTTTTCTAACAGAAGCCCAATAGATAGCAGGTATTTCCAAACCCCACTGACCATGACTTGAACTTTGCTACTCTTTGGCATGTCATCATCAATCACTATTATTCCATTGATTACCTGCATATGCAAAGTTCAGAGATGTTTGACTTGCAACCTGTGCAGCCATGAAAGCAATCACAATGAACTTTTTATAGCTCTTCTTGAGGGAAATCTATCTATCAAACTCAAAGATGCTGTGGCAGCACTCAAAAGTAGGTTTGGTGATGACAAGGACAGTAGTGATAGTAGTAGCAACCTTTCAGAAGATCAAGAAAAGGTCTCTAACCTCAAATACACGATAGAAGAAAGGTTGCATAATTTGATTTAAAAATATAAAAACAAAGGTAATGAAATGTATGCATGACCAATGCTGATAAAAAGGTGCAGTCACCTCGAAACCCTGTGTCTATTTTGCTGCTCATATCTTCTGACTGAAATATGTCACCATCATAAGGATTGCATATTTGGATATAGCAGATTCCAGTAGTGTGTACTACAGCTTCAAGAAAGAATTACTAGAATTTCTTATTCTTTGCTGTGCCACCCAAACTACTACTTGACCTCTGGTTGAGGAAGAGATCTCGTGTTAAACAAAATACAAGGTGAAAATATATGTGAAATAACTACTGCTTTGTTATATTTATTATTTTTATAATAAATATTATAAATTAAAAAGCAAAGTAAATAGCTTGAAACATTCATTTTAACAAAAAAAATCTTTATTCTTGAATTATCCTTATACGTTTTATCCCAAAACCAAAATTATAATATTCAGTAATACAGTACACTAAAACACATCTAAATCATTTCAATATCAGCATCTTATATATATACGTGTGTGTGTGTGTGTAAATCTTGTACATTATTATCAGGTCTCAAAAATTCCACTCGTCAGTTTCTATGAACAATTACTGGATGAATAAGGGCAAACTAGCTGCTTTTTATGCATTTGTCCAATACAAGTGCATTATTTCGACTGGTTAAATATAACTCACTTGTATGATAGTTTTGATGCTAAAAATAAATGTGTAGACTTCAGTAAATACCTTCTTTTCTTTCTATTTGTTGTAAACTGCTACTGTTCTCACTATGCCAGTATATGCATTTCAGTGATGTGGCCTCTTATGCTTTTATCATGCGTAACAAATGGCACAGTAATGATGTCGATGAGTCTGACAAGTTATCATTTTGTGTACAAAATAACTAAAATTTTGTAAAACTATTGCTTACTTTATACACAATAAGATAGTATTTGTTCAGGGGTATTTTCCTTAGCATCGCATCTCAGCTTCATTTGACAGCCGATGAGGGCATGTGTACTTATAATGGCCCCATACACCCTTGAATATGCTGACTTACCATCAATTCATTTTTTCTTTTTTTTAATGCAACCTTACTTAGAGTGAGTGGGCAAAAGTGAATTTGTATATAAATAAGCCATTCATTTATTGAACAATTGCTGTGTCCCCTCTAGTGAATAATTATTAGTCAGGATGTCAAATTGCTGCTCAAAATACATTCAGCTTCTTGTCATGTTTATTATGATTTTGTAATATACTGTTTGTGAGAGAAGTTAAATTTGTGCAAGACAAGTAAAAGTTTTATGTCACTTGCCCTGCTTGATGAGTGGCTTTTTTTTTAGTCCTGATTGTAGCCCATAATGAGTCAGTGATGTTTTCATTTTCATTGGTTTCTCAAAGCTCTAGTCCCCTGGTAGGACAGCGGTAAGTCTTTGGATTTACAATGCTACAATCAGGGGTTTGATTCCTTTTGGTGGACACAGCAGACAGCCTGCTGTGGCTCTGCTATAAGAAAAACACACTTAAAACTCTGTTAATACATGTTGATTAATATTTTTTTATACACTAGAATAACTTTTGCTATGTCTAAACTCACTAGCCTATCTAATACTTTTCTCAATATGCATGCAGTGGGCATTGATATTGTATTTTTAAAGTTTCATTTGGGTGTATGGATGTGAGTAAGAGAAATGCAGTTGCTTCAAAAACTTACAGGAGTTTCATTGTGATATAACATATATCTGGCTTCTCTCTGTATTGCTTGAGTTGTCAGTTCACCAAATTTAATGATGTTTACAGGTTTCAACATCAAACTTGCTTGCCCTACTGTATTTTTTATTAATTTTAATATATCCTTGAAGATGAATATTGAAGTGCTGTCTATAAAACATTGCTTGTTTTTTGAGGGTCATGAATTAACTGAGATGGACAGGGAAATTACCACATTTTATAAAGTTTTCTTTCTGTATATTTAATTGTGGACATTTACAGGTATTTCAGATCAATTGGGTAACATGATATTTGTGTGTAAATAAATCAAGTTTGTAGTTATTATTATTTCCACTGTTGCCACATCATATTTTTTCAGTTATTTCTTCCTTCACTACGCTGTTAAAGTTTTTCATTTTTGTCAAACTTTCATTCACATTGTTGCAAAAAACATTGGTAATGCACACTGTACACTTTTAACACACATTTTTTGTGGTTGGTCACACATAATCACTTTAAATAGATTTTGAGTATTATTAATTTTTAATAGCCCAAGAACCCATACATTTCGTGTTCTTTTACTTGGGTTATTACTCTTGTTGCTTTAGTTTTCTTTTTAACCTCTCTGTTGTTTCAGAACATCGTGTTTCCTCGTCCAATGGAGTAACCACTCCTTTTTTTTTATTTTTCTTACTTGCAAGATATATTTTCTAATTTTGTTGTTCTTGTATCTGTAGTATGTGCTGTTTCAAAAGCTTGTCAGTGAGCAGAACAGTTTTGGCCTAACCCTATATAGCTGTTGCCTTTTTAGCTTGACATGTTTTGTATTGTAATAATTTTGTCCTTGATGGTGAAATTGTATGAAGTTTTTGCAAACAAAATGCTTTTATAAACAAACATTAATATTTTTAACTTTAGTGTAATAATTTTTTTTTTTTATCTATCTATACTTCTTTATAAATAAACTTAGTGAAGGTTAGAACCATATTTTCAGCACAGTGAAATTGGAATGATAAATACATTGTGCCTTTAATGTGTTTCACAAACAAATACAAGTAATAACCTATCTACTCAAATAATTAAGCAAAATCATTTAGGAAACAATATTTTTAAGACATATTGAACAATCTTTATAAATCTTAACATAAAATTTACTATAAAATTTTCTTTTTAAGTAAATTTCTCAGTTATTTATGTAATTTTTTTTTCCATCTTCTCTGTACTAATAATTTATTAGTATATGTTTGAAGTAACCCTAAAGCTTGTGAAATACGTTCAAGTAAAAGTGTAATGTTTGTTTTGAGGGCATTATGCCTAATTTTATGATTTGTGTCACTTTTATGTGAGCCAGCATGCCAGGAAACTGGAGATAGTATCTGTGCATTTTGATTTATTGAATATTTGTTATTACATATGAAGAGAAACAACTTCCAGTGAAAAGTTTTCTTTTCTTGTCTAACATATTTAAAATACCTCAATGTTTTTTTTTATTTTTAACAGTGAAACCAAATATTTTAAATGTAAAAACTGTAGGAGCAAAGTGTTTCATGACCTGTAGTTAAACATTTAATGTTTTTAATATATATTTTTAAGAAAGTTAACGTATACGAGAAATTTTATAATCTTTCATTGTGGTGAAGATAGATAAGTGCACAGTTTTTAACCTGTTACATGATGGTGATGATATTATGGATTGACTTTTATTTCCTTATTAGTCTAGATGATTTTAGAATGAGTTATTTGTACTAAAGTCTTCCTGTCCAATCAGTAGAAATAATATATTAGTAGTCTTAGTCAATAAAGCTCTTATTGGCAGCACCCTATAGAGATAGTACTAAAAACATGAGTATTTACAGGGTTTTGACACAATAGCCTAATGTTTATAGTTATTAGTTTTATAGATTAGATTTAGATTTACAGGAAAGATATTCATTTTACAAGGGGCATTTTGTAAATGTAAAGATTTCAGTGAATTATTTGTTTCTGTATTTTTGTTGCAAAGAACTTGTTTTGAATTTTTGTATTCCAAGTTAAGTGGCCATCTCATTTTCTTATTGACACTGTTATGCCCCTTTTCTTGTTATATGACTACTGTAATTATAAAAATTTCTATGCATGCTTGTTACTTAGTGAATTCTACAGATATTATTTCTTGTGCCAAAAAAATGTTGAGCTTAATTATGCATTGTAAAGCCAATTGTTTCTTAAAATTGAATTTGTATGGCGGAGTTGTTGAATAACTGTATATATATATATAAACTAAAAAATTAAAATGGGTACAGAGATGTGAATTACATTTATACAAAGATTTCAATACAAGGACACAAAATATCTGCAGTTCTAAAATCATGTTGCAATAATCACTTTTTCCTTTATGTGTATGTACAACATGTTGATGTTTTGTTAATTGCAAACATATTTTACTCATTTAGTTTTTGTTTTCTGTTCTGTAATGCAAGTTTTTCATTACACTTTGCTGATATTGTACTAAATAACTAGTAATGATAGTAATGTGATTGGAAACTTGGTTTGATGAGAGGCTTTAGGCAGAGATACTTGTTCATATTTTTATTTCTTGTTGGAGTTTGATGTTTAAAGTTTACATGTTATCGAATTTATAGATTGGGATGTGTGTTTAATAATCAAGTAGAATTACATAAAACTTATAAAATCAGTATGTCACATTTCATTGTTTTTCTTCAATTCTGTAATTGTGGAGTTTCCCCATGTGCTGACAGTTTCAAGTATCAATTATATGTTTCATGAAATATTTTATCACTTATATCACTAAAATGCTTGCATGTATTATAGACTAATTACAAAGTTTATATTTGTTATATACATGCAATAACTGTCTCAAAAGATTAAAGAATAGTTTATAAATATGAAATACTATCATTACTAAAGCATTTTCGAAAAATGAAAATAATTTAAATGAAGGTGGTACTTTTGTTGCATGAGCCTGAGGTTACTTTTAAAGTGCATGCTCACTGAAGATTTTGTGATGAACTGAACAGTTCTATAATAAGTGAACAATATCAGATTGAAGGATGTTTATATATTATATTTTAATAAGTAATATTGGTGTGAAAATAATAATTGTCATCTTGTTCATAAGAGCAAGTCAGTTGCATTTAAATGTGACAGAAGTATGTGTTGTCAACTCGTGGAGAGAATTAAGAATGAAAGCCTCAACAGTCTCAATGTCATTAGTTTTTAAAAGGATTATTAGGATTACTTCTGTCATCTTTCAGAATGAATCAGTCAGTGTTTTAGCATAAAGATGGCATTACAATTTGTCAAAACTTCTACAAATGTTACTTGACATGTGCTTGATTCCAAAAATCTTCTGTGTGGCTGTTCTAATGGTTCCTCTTTTCCATTTTAGTATTCTTTTAGTTTATTACTCATGACAAATCTATCAGATCATCTTTTCTGGAGTGCTTGTCTCTTAAATCTATTTAGTGCTAATCATTTGATGTTCAACTTAGTTGTATGTTCCAATGCTTAGGTTCTAGATACTGGTTCATGTGGTAGTTTTATTTCTTTCACCTGGTTGTTCTGTGTTCATTAAAATCTGCATATCCTAGGCACCATTGAATCTGGGGTTTTCAAATACCATTGCTACTACCATAAAATGTTATGACTTGCTGGGATGGTCAACACACTTTCTAATTGATCAGGAGGAGACCGTTTCAATCACAAATAAACACTTTATTACACAAATCATAAAATATCCCACTGAACAATAGAGTGCAGGCAACTACAAAAGAAAGCTAAAGATTATTCATTTAGAGTAATGTATTGGAAATGCACAGCCAAATCCATTTCTTTGTCTTCTCATCCTACTTTTCCTCCTTCCTTATTTGTAATTTTGTTTTTCAGAAATTAGCAAGCAGTAGAGAACAGGAAACTCAAATTTTCAGAAGAAGTTAGTTAGACTGTTGAAATTATGTAAGCTGTAACAGGCTATAAAACTACATAGGCTGCAACAAATTGTTATGGAATATTATGTGACAAATGTTGCAGTCATTGTTCAAACAACAATATTACCTAACTGAAACATTTAAATCACTTGCAAAGTAAACTTGGATATGCAGACATGTTTTCTGTGCACTTAAAATATTATTCTGTTATATAGTATTGTAAATACACCCAAGTACATTTTGTAAAAGCTATGCCTAAAAAAAAAGCAAAGTGTTGTAAAACTTGATGTTTTATACTCAGTTCTTATACCTAAATTTAAATACTTAATTAACTGTTACTATTAAGTCTAAATTTAAGCATATGGTATCCTAATTTTAATTTTATTGTTGAAAGAGTCTGTGTTCAGACGTTACTTGTATTGTATTCAAATATGCCCAGTAGGCTTAGAAAATGGCAGAACTACATGTTTGAAGTTTACCTAAAATACAGTTTTTTCTTCCTTTTTCTGAATACAAAGTGGTCATCGAAAGGTTGAATATACAGAAAATTCAATCTTAAAGGCAGGTATTGTTGAACGTTTTTTAAACAGGGTAATTTCTCTCATTTATCTTTTTTTTTTTCTTGCATAGCTCACCTGCTTAAGACAATCAAGGTATAATCAAGAGTTTTCTCTACCTATAACAAGGCACAACTACAGTTATTAAATAATGTCATTGGAGACCCTAAGTAAATTATTTTGCAAAACAAGTGTCAGGTGACTGGTCTTGTGATCTGATACACATTTCAGGGAAATAAAAAGTTTTCATATAACAGTTTAAACAGCATTAGTGTTTGTTAACAAATCAAGATTGATACTGACATATGTCAGGATCTTGACAAAGAAACTTTGATGTTTTCATGATGTAGAGAGCAGTAAGGTCAGCTGCAAGCCACTCTATCTAACACTATAAGTCTTTGCAGAGTGGCTACAAATCTCACAAAGTATAGTTAACAGAATGTGGACTCAGTATCAGACCAAACAGGAGGATTTGATAATCATCTTTTATAAACTCATAAAGTGACCTCTATATAACAATATGGGATACATGTAACCAGTAGACATTACCTTTCTAACTGAACCAACAGTTCAGGTCAGTATCTGTAAGAAAAGTTAGCATGGAAATTGTTATACACAAGCTTCATAAGACTAGCCTTTATGCTAGATGACCAGTGTGGTATGTTCCTCTAAGTCACCACCACAAAATGGTGTGTCTTCAGTGGTGTCATGATTAAGTGAATTGATTAAATGACATGTGGGCAAATGTTAAAAAATGAATGTTTTATATTGCAACAAAGTATGTATACATTTGAAGAATAGCTGAGACAAGATCCATTCCCAAGCATATGGTGGTGGTTGTCCTGACAGGGATTGTTATGAATGCCATGTGATATAGGGATATAGTCTTATACCTTTAGCATTGTCATGTGCAGGTGCTGTTGGCTAGAACTTTCTTCTGATGGGTGATGATAGGTGATAGGTACTCTCACTGTGTTCAACTATTTTGTAACTTCCTTGAAGAATAGGATATTGAATGAATAGATTGACCAACATACTTACCAACCTGTGTGATGAATTAAAAGCAACTCTGAAGGAAGAGTTGGCACATTAGTGACATAGCCAGGTAAAAAATTTTGTGGGTCTGGAATTAAACTTCATGATTAGGAAGTATAAAAACCTGCTGCTGGGTCCTATTATCCAAACAGCTTATTGATTCACTCATTTTAAGCATGCCACATCATTATGATCTTAGTGCACAATTTGTATTAGTGTCTGGGGTGGTTAAATAGCTTATTAATAAATGTTTTCTGATCATTTATTGGGCTGCTAAGTCTGTAGTACCAAATGAGAATTTGTGGATGCGGGCTTTCATAGTAAACATTTCTACATCAGTTGACATGACTTGTCATCTGATGCTTGTTTTGCATAAAAATTACTTCTGGAGTAACATTTGTGCCACTGACATTATTACAACTTAGTAAAATTAATTTTTTTATGAGAAAAGTGAACTATATTTTAAAGTTAATAGTTTTATTTCATATCTAGCGTACACTATAAAATGATGTTATTCTGAAAATAAGGTAAGTATATAATCCAATAAAGTTGCACCATTTATGCACTCTAAGAAATGTATTTTTCACTGGGGTACATAAACATCAAAATATGTGTACATAAAAAAAGCATACACAGGAATACTTGAGCATCAGAATTTATATATGCTACAATATATATATTTTTCCCTTAGGCACATGTACATCTCCGAATATGCTTTCTACTTGATGACATAAGTATCAAAATGTGCACATTCAGTGAAACGATTGAAATAGGAGTATTTGATGCATATTATGATTTTTTTTTATATATGAAATTTGATATGTACGATTCCAGAGTTGTTCAGACATTAAAGAATGACCTTTGAATTAATTTATACCCAAGACATTTTTTATTTGTTTCTAAGTTTTTGTTCTATTTTTACATTATTTTTGACAGAGATGTTCACATGCAGAATTGTAACACAACTGGCATATCCATAAAAAGAAAAGCAAGTTTTTTTATTTAAAATAAATTTCAATATCAGGTGTTTGTTAAGAATCCTTTTTGTTATTTATTTAAAGTTGTGTTGAAATGAAAAAATAAGTGCTCTGAAATAGACAAAATGGAAGAATGATGAAGAGTTGATATATTCAAAATGTCTGAATAATCTGTTGCCTTTATATCATTTTCTGTTAATTAGAAATTTAAAAAAGCCTTATTCTCCAACAAGATTCCACCCACATTTTATTTTATTTCTTAGAGAATGTTTATCATCTTATTGTTCACATTATTTAAAACTGTTGTTTTAAAATTTGTGCCAATTTCTTGCAGTGTTAAATTTGGACTAAAGAAATATGTAAAATTCTGTTAACTGTTCTTGTTTCTAGCAGAAGTTGATATTTAAAACATCATATAATTGAATTTATAATTAGATGTTAATGTGTTCACATTACTTTTCTCTTGATGTGGTGTACTGGCTTTAGTGGCAGAGTTTCATGGAGAGAACATGTGGGTACTGTTCACTTGCTGTTTTCTTCCCTAGTCTATCATTTCAATATTAGGCATAACTGGTGGAGATACTCCATGTCTAGCTTTGCACACATGAAATTTCTGAAACAAAATCTTCAGTTATTGGTTCAATTTTATATTCCTTATTAAGCTGTATAATGTATATATTTTGTGAAATGTCTAAATGTCACTTGTTAGAAAGTAATATATTAATTTAAGTTGTATAGATTTGCAATTAGAGCTTGAAATCAAAATATTTTGCATGATTCAATTATGCAATGATGTGATTGAAGTGTTATTGCTTTAATTGAGATGAAAAATTTATATAGCTAATCTTTTTAGAGTGTCAGTATTTAAAGAAAAATCAATTTGATGAAAGAGAGAAAATGAAAAATTATATAAAATATATAAAAAGAGGTTCTACTGATAAATATTATATCTTATATTTTCTAGTGTAGCATTTCTTCACCCCTTGCATTTCATAATTTTCTTAAGATTTCTTATTTGTCTCATCCATTCTCTTCAAATGTTTTTATATTTGATCTGGTAGTGATATACATGCAGTAAGGACTATTTTAAACAATACCATACTTTTTCAGATTAGTTAGGAAAATCTGTGATACATTATACAGATTTCAAGGGATGATACTCAAAAAGAAATCCCATCATGGGTAGACTGTAACAAAAGTACTTTGGCACCACAGTGTATTATACTGGTAAACTTGTTCAGCAACTTAAACATTGCAAAATGTCACAACTTTGTTGGATGAATTTATTTTTCTGTCCATTAGAAACAACACGATTTGGCAATAGCCAAGCCCTGTAGGATTACTCTTGTTTCACATGTAATTAGAAAAAATCTCAAATTAGGTTAATGAACTTTAAATGCAAAAATGTTAATATAGATTGTCAGAATCTGAAACACACTATTTTTATTTGTCACGTGTTGTTGATTCCTGATAAAATGACATGAAAAAGTTGTTCTGTTGTATTATTGTTCTGTGACTACTTCGTAGTTGTTTCTTTAATTGTTCACTGTAGAGTTTTTGAGTCTAGTAAATTATTGTACACCTAATAGTTTCTGGGCTATCACTTCATTTAGCAAATGAACGATCAGTTTTTGTAAACTTAGTTTTCTCGTGTTTGTTGCATTTGTAGCTGCTTAAAGAAAGCCTGTGTATTAATGATGTGCTGCTCTGAAAAATGCCTTTTTTTATATATTAATTCAATGGATGTTATTGTAATTAATGGCCAACTATATTAATCTCTGCATAATTAGTAATACACATTTATAGCAGTCTGAAAGAATTTGTGATAAGAATGCAGGCTGCTAGAAATGTAGGCCTAGGCTTATTTCAAAACACAGATAACCCATTGTATAGTTTTGTTCTCAAACAAACAAAACTAGACATTTATATAAAGACAATATGGACACACATACTGTATTAATAGTACATAACACAAGTGTACAGGATATAAAATGCATACTGTATAGTATGCAACACATGTATACTGTATATGTAGTATTAACAAACGTATACCTTATTTATAGTATATAGTACATGAATATTTATAGTACTAACATATAGCCCATCAAAAATGATGAGGCAAGTACTACCACTCTAACCTCACATTTCATAGCTAACTTAAATAAATAAATTTTGCTAAATCAAGGTTGACCAACAAAGAGGCAGAAAAGTGCAGTCGAGGCAGTCAAACATTGATAAAGTCCTTTGTGAGCCAATCAAAATTAAAATCATTTGTAAAATGAATTCGTAGCATATTTATAGAATAATTATTAGTAAAAATCAGATTAACGACTTCTAACAAATATATAGAAAAGCCAGTGCATTTTGGTAACACTACTTTCCAACAATGGCTTTTATGTCATGTTGCTTAGCAACAAAAGTATAACCTAATGTTATGTATCTGTTTGTTAATTTCCGGTATAAATTCTTTCTGAGGAACTTCAGTGATACAAGTCTTTTTTAAACAAAACTAGTTTATTCTTTCTCGATACAACTTTTTAGTACACAGAATTTCCACAGTCACTATAATTAACAACCTTTATAACACACGCTATAAATCACAGTGATTCACACACTTTACTTACAGTGCCTACTGTTCACTTGACTCAATTATCTATCTCTTCAATCTATCTGCATATCTCTCTATTGCTGGCTTTATTTGCCGGGCTTATATACTAAAAAAGAGGGTGCCTGGCAAACACTCAGACATTTGCAGGGTTCCACAATAATTCATGATCCTTCTAGAAACTCCAGTGCGCATGCTCCCAGCGTCACGTGACTTCCACTATCGTAACACTGCCCCTTCCTTAGTATTGTTCATCCCGAATAATAGCCACTTACATTAAACCAATAAATAATTAACAATAACTTGATTAAATATACAGAATTCAAAATTAAAATACAACAAAGTCTCTTAATTTTTCAGGATGTATCTTCTTCCATACTGGTCTCTGTCTCATTGGCTTCTGCTTCACGTGGGGTTCATCTGCTCCATCAGGAAATGTCCCATTATCGGTAACAGTCACATCAGTAGTAGT